CACGAGTCGTTAGAAAATGAAAGGAAAAGATTCGTTGGCAGAAAACGATCGAATTGAAAGGTCGAATGATGCAAACGAATACGTTTGCCCTTATGCAAAAAGGCGACTGTTTTTTTCAAATGCACCGTGCGGAATTAAATCAGAGTTTCCTGCAAAAGAAAAAAAGAAAAAAATAGATAGGCTCCGTTCTTTGTTCGGCGTGAAAAGGCTTAATTTATCGTCGAATGAGCAAACGTTTTTATTTTTTATCCAAAGAGACGAGAAAATAAACGTGTATCGTTGGAAGAAAGCGCATACAATAATTTCCAATTCCTGTTTATATATATCAAAGTAATAATATAAAATTTAACAGTTATACGAGTTCTCTCTCAATATAATTTTCAATTAAAGTAATATTATTTCACAATGCGCACACATATTATAGACATCAAATACAAATCAAAAAAGAAATGATATAAAAGCGTCCAATAATTATTACAAACAAAATGTTTATATACTTTATCGTATCTATTTTCAACGTGCAGTACAATATTTGCTGGCTTTATCGTCGACTAGAAAAAGAGTGACAAGATGAAGAAGGCTTAGAAATAAATATATACATGTATATATAGAGATACCATTACATATATACTTACATGTCTGAGTACATAGGTCATAGGTATTTCATTGTCCGTTGGATACGTAGGACGGAAGTAGCGACTGGCGAGTTGCCACAATCGAGACTGACAATGAGGGGTGTTGAAAAGGGAGGAAAAAAAGGATAAAAGAGAGAAAAGTCGATCGGGCGTTCCTCTTTGACGGCCGTTGTCTCCTTTTTCCTTCGTAACAACACGTATACACATATGTACATATATGTCTGTATGTACATATTCTCTCAATCCCTCATTAACCTTTTTACGAGACTCCTTTTTCTTCCTTTTTCCTTTCTTAAATCTTTATGAATATATCTTTGACTTTTTAATGCATCAACTCTTTTGTCCATTCGAAGGAACGAAGGGTCCACCCTTTCCTTCCTTCCTTCCTTCCTTCCCTTTACACCCTGTTCTCTTCTAGAATTTTTCTTAGAAAACATTACGAAGCTCGTTAGCATGTAACCCCTCCCAGACTTGTCTTAATTGACTCAATGGATGCCTACTCGGTCCGTCTGCTAATTTCCGACGCGATGATGAGGACAACCAAATGGTTTGGCTCATCTGATGTCAGAGAGGAAGGAGGAAGGGTCAGGAGAAAGGGAGAGATAGAGCAACCGATGAGGTCAAGACCGTGCTTAGGCGAATATATAATACTTCGTATAAAGACCATTAATCCTAGTAACGTTATCTACACGATTCTCATTCTAGAATTTTCATTTCTCATTTTCGGTTCATTAAGAACCATTAAGCGCGATATGTGTAGAATACTACAAATTATGGCATATTTTTCCATTATTTCATATTGTGTTATAATAGAGAAGATTTGATAACATTAAACCTATTCAAATTTGAATAGAAAATTTAATTCGATTAGATTTAATTGTGGTTGTTAATTGTGTATAAAAGTGATGTAAGAAACATTATACCTAAGGAAAAAGAAAATGCCTGGGTACGTAATAAGTTAATCTACTTGCTAATAAACTAAATGAGTCATATTTAACGTAGCTGGGAGATATTTTTCTTCCTTTTCGAGATAACAGCAGCAGGAGCAGTAGCAGCTAACAAAGGAACATCCCCGGAGAACAATGTGGAGAATATGAAATATTAAGAGATAGATATTTCATTCTCTTTTTTTCTTTTTTTTTTTTTTGCTAATAAACATTTTAAAGTGAAAGGAAAATAATATCGCTAGGAAAATTGGTCTTATTGGGATAAAATGTAAACAGGTTCCGTTAAGCGTTTCAAACAAAAAAAGAATTGCTCGATTTGAAATGCTGAATAATTTGGCTGGATCGGCATTTTTTACTCGGCAAATGGATTTTTCTTCGTACTCTTGTGTTTATTAAGACTTTTCTACAGGCACAAAAAAAAAAGCTTGCGAATATATTAGGTAACAAAGTTGCGATATTATTATATCCGTTAGAAATATTATATTTTAAAAAAATATAAAACTGCTAATTAATTCAAATACATTCAAGAGAATTACATTTAAACGTATACCGCGATAAGACTCTTATTAATTATTTAAGAATGAACTTGGAGGCTAAAATTATGAATACGTTGGAAAGGAGATACTTTTGTTATTTAAAAGTAAACTTTTCTAAAAATAAAAAAAGCAAAGAGGGAGAGAGAGAGAGAGAGAGAGAGAAATTCATTTGAAACGTGGCCTCTATCGCTGTACCAGATGATCCCGAGTTTATGCCCGAGGCAGAGTGCAGGTTATAGAAATCATCAACAATGCAAGAGAACACCGAGGGATTTTTTTTTTCATTTAAAAAAAGAATCCACCAAGAGAGAAATACTTTTAAACAACGTTATGTTATTTTTGTCTTTTTAGTTCAAACTTAATACAGACAAGTTGATTCATCGATTAAAATCGTCAATGGGTATTACGATAGTTATATTTATATACAATAATAATTTCTTAATAGAACGTTATATTAAATTCTCCTTTTTTTAAAAAAAAAAAAAACGGAAAAAAACATATTATTATAGTTGGAAAGCAAAAAAAAAAGGGATTGTTAAATACTAGGAATTATGAAGCAAGTCGTTTTCCTTCTTGATCGAAACGTTAGTAAGAAAGATGAGAGAGTAAGAGAGCTCGTTTAAAACTTTCGCTCGAAACTTTAAGTGGTTGGGTATGAGTAAGCACGGGACGATGACGACGAGTCGGTAGCCCTTTTTACGGCCACAATTACAGACTTTTTCGATTCCAGAGGTCTTCTTATGGCTACGAAGAAGATGAAAAGATTAAAACGTCGGTATAATTCGTTACAAGAATTATAGGGGCACGTCACGTATATCTTACATTCATTTTCTATGATTTACGTACACGTATTTTACGTTATTTTCATTCATCTACTACTATGTTTCTCATAGTAACTTGTCAATCGGATTGACAGTGTTTCGATAGTTATTGGTGAAATAAATATATAAAAAGATAAATTAATATTTTTTTAAAAATAAAATCGATCCTGGTTGAAATTTGTTAGGTAGATTGGGAAACTGCTAGGACAGAAAGAGAAAGAGAATTTCTGCATTATTCATATCGACGACTAGTTCTATACTCTCTGTGTTGGAATCTATGCATTCTAATCGCTTCTATAAGATGGAAATGCGAGCAAACTATCGGCGCATAATGCAAGATACCGATATTCCTTGAATCATATTATGCATCGTATTTTGTTAATTATTACGAACATATATATGTATATATGTATATATATATATATCAAGTATTTATATGGAAATATATTACTAATTAACATAAGATTTGAATAAAAATTCAATTAACATGTTTTTGCTGGGGAAAAAAATACAAAAATAATTGTATTGTTTCCGATCCGGAAGGTCAACATCGTGAAAATAAATTCTTTTTGTAGGTTTATGTATCGCTTTTCAGAACAGAGAGAGAGAGAGAAAGAGACAATCAACCAGCCAGCAAGCTAGTAGTAGGCCAGTCACTTAATACGTTTCGAGGAGGGATTAGGTGTCGTGTTTCTACGGACTTAAGTTGATATAATACCAGCAGCATGCTTGGTCGACAAGCATCCGCTCTCTTAGGTCAGTCTCCAGTCGATCTCGACTTTCGACTGTTTCGAGTTCGCCAGCATTTCAAAGAATGGGGGATGGATGGTTTCAAGTGTATATGAATTTACTTGCCACACACACATACACCCACATAAATATATATACTAACTGATTCCCACGGGTATATAAATATGTGTTCATAGAGATTATTTGCTAAATTAAAGAAGAACACCCCCACGCCGTTATATAATTTCAAAGTAATGTCAAATTTAAACTCGAAACCAATGCTAACACGACGAGAGTAGGAATATAAACAACGCTGAGGTCATAAGCAACTTTGGCAAGCTATCAAGTTTATCAATCAGTCGTCTACGAGTCGTTCTAAAAGGTAGTATGTGTTTTGTATTATCCTTTGGAAATATTATTTTTGAATAATTTTCGGAATAGAAGGAAACAACAGTTGTTCCGTTCTTTAGCACCAACATATATACAAGCGGAATAAAAGATATACAACGTCTGGTTACATTTAAAATACGCGTAAGTAATATGCAGGAAACATTATGGTAAATTTTCTTGATATACCTTGCACAAATGTACATTAAATGCTTCTCGCAGTATGCGTTATTGTCGTTTGTATTATTTACGTATGTAATATAATACATATGTACATTATAAATCATATTAATGGTATTTTAAATTATATAATATCTTTCATTGAGCTAATCAATATCGCAAATCATTTTGACCTACGATTTATCGAGCGATTACGAATAAGTTAGTCGTTATATATATAGTATATATATGTATATATGAACATATGTATATGTATATAAGTATATATAGATCTTTTTTGTGAGTTCAACGATAGAAGTACTTAAACGAGCCGCGACTGACCTCACGTCCGGTTTCTCTCGGGGCGTGAATGGAATCAAATGGAACGGAGGGTTACTAAATGACAATGGTCAACTCGTACGCGCCGGTTCTTATTTCCGGTGCAACGTTACGGACATTGTTCATCGCGTTGTCTGTCTGTCTGTCTGTCTGTCTATCTGTCGAGCGGTAGGAATGACGGGAGAACTACGCTCGCGTCGCTCGATGTCACCGACACGTATTGATTTCGTCTGGCAGCTGACTCGCACGAGACCTAGTATATGCACTTTACAAAGAAGAAGAAGAAGAACGGAAGTAAACTAACTTATGCCGTTGAAAAGATATAACAAAGAACTTAGCGGGATTCCTCCCGATATTGTAACTTTTGTTTCTTTTTAAATTTCAATCAATGATTTGCATAATATAAGAATTAACGGACATCGTGTTTGTTTTATTTCGTTGTTGCAGCTCGTGTTTGCAGCACCCATGCTTTAGTGAAGGCATCAGAAAGTTACCGAGAAGGAGCGGCAGGATGTGGCGATTACTCGTCTTTTGGATCCTAGCGATCAACTTGGCGAGGATCGATGGGAAAATCGCGGTTTTACCTCACGACGTTTATCCCGGTTACGAGATAACAAGATTTCACAGCGAATCTAAACAACAACAACCATCGAGGTTTCGTTTACGCGACAATGCCTTCTCCAAATATTTCACCGTCTTGAAGAATGGCCTTGTCATGACCACGTCGGAACTCGGACCATTGCTGGATCATCGTCGACCGATCGATTTGGTAGTTTTAGAAGAATTAGCAAACGGTACTGAAGCCCACGATCTTCGATTATACGTGATAGATCGTCGTCACGTGTTAACATTCTCCCAGGAACGTTTAGGGGAAGGTGAGGTCAGCGAAAATGCACCTGCCGGTACTCTGGTCGAAGGATTTCCACTTTTAAGAGCACGCGGCTACTTTCCCGTTCATTATACCATTCTACCAGACGAAAGTGGTGAAAGAGCGTTCGCTTTGAGAGAAGATCATTCGAACGATCGTGGTTTCAACGTTACGCTCGTTAACCACAGGCAAGGAGTCAGAGTGGTCACAGCTAAACCGCTAGATCGCGAAAAAAAAGAAAAATACAAGCTGGTGATACGTGCGTTCGATGGTAATTACGTGAGCACCACGAAAATCGGTGGTTTCGTTCGGGTTATCGATGAAAATGACAATGGTCCAGTTTTCGAGAAGGACGTTTACACCTTCGAAATTCGGCCTACGAATATTGAGGAACTGAGAGAGGGTATCGACATCGTTCCATCTTGGAAAAGATTTATGACGATAGGCAAGATCGTAGCCAAGGATGCAGATGGTGACAAATTGGCTTATAGAATGCTTACCAATACCGATCTTCTCGTCGTCGTTCCTCAAACGGGTGAACTTTGGTTAACCAATTTACCCGAATTAGCTCCCGAAGAAGATGCAGAACAACGTTTTATCATCGAAGCACACGATCTTCGTACTCCATCGAAAATATCCGAAAAGCCGGCTATAGTAATCGTCAGATTTCTAACCTCGGTAAACGTTCCCGAGCCCGAACTTCACAAGATTCGAAAGAGACGAGTTACCAGAGCTGTCAGGCCTACAAAGAAGATCGATTTTTCCGAGGCCGATGGCGACGTCGTTGGAAAAATAGCTTTTCATCTTGAGAAGGAAAACGAGAAGGAAACTTATAAGATCAGAGACGAGAACAAGTGGGTTACGGTTGGATCCAATGGATCCGTCATGGTCAAACAAAAGTGGGATTATGAAGCGCTCGGACTCGAGAAGACTATTGATTTTTGGGTTACCATAACTAACATGGGTAAGCTCCTTTTATTTTTTTCTCATTACGTTCATTTTAAAGTTCCGTTTCTGCAGATTATTTTTATTTCGATTAAATTTATTATCTTTTTATTTTATATATGTATGGATTTTATCATTTTGATTTTGTTCATTTATGTTAGATTAATTTTCTTATTAATTATTATTTGATTTCATTTTGTCGACTGTGCGAAGAGCTGTCTGAAGAGCTGTGTGCACGGTTTTACATCGATTACCCGTGCCCATTCGAAGACGGTACCAGCATTTGATTTTTTTTTCTCAAAGATCGCTTCGAAAAGCATTTGAAATTCTTTCGCTTTTCTGGACAGTCTTGATACACGCGTAGCAAATAAGCACAATTATTTAACATTTGGCACTCTTTTTATTAGTGGGAAGTATTGGGTATAGTTTCAAGATAAATTGATTATTTTCTAGCACGTTATCTCACTGTTACTAATTTGATATATTTTCTTTCACGCATAATTGGCATCCAAAGGATTTCAATGTAAGTATCATCGCAATATCATTCACTTCTCTGCACGTACACGCGCGTGTACGTGTTTATGTATATCCATGTGTGTGTGTATTTTTTTGTTGTTTGCTTAAAAGTATTTACAAAAAAATTCGAAAAAACAATATTCATTGCAAATTCATAGCGTTTCATGTTTGTTTCACATGTTTCACGAATGACGTATAGCACTGTTTAAATGGTTATTTCTATATTTAATGTTTTTGACATTATTTTGATATTCCATCTATCCCTGTGGTTACAAAGTCTGACAAAACGTACTTGATTAAAACGAATAAGGTCGCAATGAGTGACCAAACATACAGATCGTATCATTAAATTAATGAAATTGCTATTGAATTAACCGTAGTGACCCTATTCGAAATATACCAAATATCGTGTGTATATAATCATCTATTTGGTGAATAATATTAAATAAATTATAGACTGTCGTTCTCGCTTGAAATTATTAATTCAAGTTTCGTTAGATTGACTTTGTCAAAAACAAACAACGGCTTATCTTATTGATCTCGCTAAAGCATGCACATTTTTGTTGGCTTGTGCGCGTGTAATTCGTGTAAATTGTATATTTTCTTTTTTTTGTATACGTTATATATATATGTCGTTCGAGTTTTTGTGGTTTCACGAGGATGGGTTGAAAAAGTGAAATGTAATTTTACCGGAAAACAAAAAAAAGATAATTTCTACGCTAATTGTAAGCTAAAAACTTTTCAACCCAGCCACATGTGTGTTGCAACACGCTTACCATTGAATTGTGAAAATATAAAAATAATACGTAATCGTAGATACGGACAATCAACGTGTCATTATCAACATGAAGGACGTGAACGACGAGCCACCTTACTTCATTAACCGTCCTCTACCCATGCAGACTGTTGTACAGCTGAATGCACCACCAAACACGCACGTGTTCACGTTACAAGCAAGGGATCCTGATACCGATCACAACATTCACTACTTTATTGTTAGAGACCGGAGTACGTAAAAATGATTATTATATTTGACTATTACTATAACATTTTTTAAGATAATTTTTAATTTATTTCCGTTTGGTTAAATAATTACTCTTCATTGTTTTGGAAATCGGAATAGATGAAAATTATTATTACGAGTTGGAGTAATAACATTTTCGAATCATTTCCATTTGAGTTACCTTTGAGTTTGCTTTAGTTCTCTTTAATATGTTACATGGTTAGAGATCAGAGTGCGTGAAATTTCCTAATTATTATTATGATTATAATTATGAACATTTTCGAATAATTTACATTTAATTACGTTTGCGGGAACGAGTTGGGAAGAAAATTATTACGACAAGTATTTAAATATTCGGGAAAATAACTGTCCCGATGGGTTAACTCGACTTTTGATAGAACCTTAACGATTATGCAATTCTTAAATAATTCCATTAGCTTTCTAGACTAATTATAGATAAGATAGACGTCTATTAGAGTACTCTTCTAGCGTCCGTTGAATAATTTACGTGATATCTCTGGATCTGTGAAAATTGTCTTTTATTCTTAATCAACCGATCGATTTCTCCGTGAGTGCAACGTCCGGTTACACGTGAATAACGTCATGAAACCAATCTCCGATACTTATTTTCGTGCCCTTTTAATGTCGTTTAACATGCGACTACTTTTTTTTTCTTTTCTTTTTTTTTTTTTTTATTTTCGTTTCTTTATCGATAGACAGAAATGTTACGCTCTTAACAAATTCATCGTTACTAGTCTCGGACTGACCAACTCGATTGTTTATTGCATAAATATTTATAAAAATAGAATAATATTCGAAATGTAGATTTATCTTTCTTCTTTTATAGCCGGTGGTCGTTTCGAAGTCGATCAAAGATCAGGCGTAGTACGTACTCGTGGTACTGATCTCTTTCAGTTGGACATGGAATACGTTCTTTATGTAAAAGCCGAAGATCAAAATGGTCGAATAGACGAAAGACATTTCCAGTCGACTACGGAGGAACGACTATCGATCGTTGGTGGCAAACGTGCACCACAATTCTACATGACCGCTTACGAAGCTGAAATTCCAGAAAATCAAAAGAAAGATTCCGAGTAAGTTCATTTCCTTCGACTATTTATTTAAACGGTCTGTCTTTATTTCTGTTTTTTTTTTTTTTTTTATTTATCTCGAAAGGGTGAGATCGATTTTCTATATTCTCCAATTCGTTTGAATTTGCAGCATCATATCGGTTAAAGCCAAGTCATTCGCCGATCGTGAAATTCGTTATACATTAAAAGCTCAAGGACAAGGTGCTGCGGGAACTTTCAATATAGGGCCAACTTCTGGTATCGTCAAGTTAGCAAAAGAACTCGATTTTGAGGATTTACGTCAACCACATATATATTCGTTGATAGTTACTGCTACAGAAGATTCCGGTGGATTTTCAACGACGGTCGAGGTACTTTTAATAGTTTTAAAATTTTTTTTCATCAAAATAAAATGATTGAACTTGAAGGATAATTTAATTTTGGAAATAGTTCATTATCGTCTTGTGATATAATTCTAATATATAAATTGTATACATCATATTCGCATATTTGCAGTTAACCATTAGAGTTTCCGACGTGAATGACAACGCTCCGAAGTTTGAGTTACCAGACTACCAAGCTCACAATGTCGACGAGGATATTCCTTTGGGTACCAGCATATTAAAAGTTAAAGCAACTGATGCCGATTCTGGAGCAAATGCGGAGATCGAATATTTAGTTTCGGACGATCATTTCAGCGTCGATTCGAACGGTATCATCGTTAATAATAAACAACTGGATGCCGACAATAACAATGCTTATTATGAATTCGTAGTTACGGCTAAAGATAAAGGTAGGTTTATACAAAATTAATTGTGACACCGTGACAATCAAACTAATGAACATTGAAATATCATTAGGTACACCTTCGAAGACTGGTACGGCTACTGTACGAATTTATACTAAAAATAAAAACGACGAGGAGCCGAAATTTTCCCAACAAGTGTATACGCCAAACGTTGACGAAAATGCCGGACCAAATACATTGGTGACAACCGTGGTGGCGTCTGACAAGGACGGTGACAACGTTCGCTTTAGATTCGTTGGAGGAAATATTACGTCGGGACAATTCGTTATCGAAGAAATTACTGGAGTAATTCGTCTACATGGGGATAAAATAACTTTGGATCGTGACAAATACGAACTTAACGTGACAGCTTTGGACGATGGTGCATGTTGTTTGAATGGGGATGCGACGATCCATACCAGCACAGCTGTCGTTGTTGTTTTCATAACCGACGTTAACGACAACAAGCCGGTGTTCAAAGATTGCGGAACTTACAATCCTAAAGTCGAGGAAGGTGCTCCTAATGGAAGTCCGGTGATCAAGGTACAAGCTACCGACGAAGATAAAGGTGTCAATGGGCAAGTGAAGTACTCCATAGTACAACAACCTAATCAGAAAGGAACTAAGTTTATGGTGGATGAGGAAACTGGCCAAGTATCCACTAATAAGGTAAGTATTTTGAAAAATATTATTTCATAAAATTTATTACGATTATGTAAAAAATTAAACGAAATGTTATCCTCGTTATCTATTGGATCGTGTATGATCTACATTTCAAGTACCGTCCTCGATATTTTACCTTGAACTAGAAAAACAGATTTGTTAGAAGGGTAAAATGATTACACTTTAATTATCAATAATCCGAGCAGTGCATCTCATCGAGCACGGCAACGACGGGGAGTATTTAAACAGGTCGCGTTGCAACAAGAGAGAGAGAAATCTCGCAATTAAGGACATGACCCGATTATGCTCATCATGATTACTTTCAGGTATTTGATCGCGAGGGCGACGACGGAAAGTTCGTATCAGTTACCGTAAAAGCGACGGATCAAGGTGAACCATCCTTGGAAGGAGTTTGTTCCTTCACCGTTGAGATAACTGACGTTAATGACAATCCACCATTATTCGATCGTCAAGTGAGTTGATAAAATAAGATAGAATATAATTATAATCTTTAGTTAGTCGTTAAACTGCAACTTTGCTGTTTAAAATATACTTTTGACATTTTTCAAAGTTTATTTAATAGAATGTGCACGCGTTTAGGGATTTACCTTGTACATTTTGATCAAACAATTATTATATCAAAAAAAAACCATTTTTCAGAGATACGTGGAAAATGTTAAACAAGATGCAAGTATTGGCACTAATATTCTGAGAGTATCGGCCTCTGACGAAGATGCCGACAACAATGGCGCTATAACATATACTTTGAGCGCACCTAACAACGATCAAGGCTTGGAGTACTTTGAAATCCAACCAGAATCTGGTTGGATTGTATTAAAGAAGCCATTAGATGTGAGTATCTATTTCAAACGTTGACTCGCATATTCTATATTTTTAATCGTAAACAAGGCCACGATTCGCTTGGACACGCGCGCGTGCACATAGAATATTATTATTCTCGAACGATAATATATTTTAATAATAATATCAATATTTCTAACGTAAAATTATATATAGTAAACAAATTTCACGCGCGTTATCCAAAAGAACTCGTAAGCCGAAATATAATATAAATGTATATATATTATATATTATTTATACATAAATATATACACACATGCGTGTATATTCACKTTTATGTATATATCGTGTGTGTGTGCGTGTGTGTATGTGTATGTGTGTATATATTTACGTATATACACGTATATACATATATTTAATATGCCGATATATTGTACGTTTTGCGTTAACTTACGTTCTTTAACACGAATCCGTTTTGTTACTACTTGCCGGATAAACTTGTATACCAATATGCGTTTGGTCGATAATTATTTCTCTCAACACTAATATGCAACGAAATGAGTTTCCTTTTTACGGCACATGTATAGAACTTTTTAATTCCCATTGATATGCACAATGTGTTCACTATGGTAAATACTTAGCTATGCCTGATTTCCTCAAACGCTTCATGTACCTGAATCGATCGACCGTTCGGGCTATTTTTGCATCAGAACACTCTCTCTCTCTCTCTCTTTCATTCTGTCTGCGGCGCGAGTATCTTTTTACTTTTTTTTTTTTTTTTTTTTTTT